TATAGAAAAGTCGTCAGTCTTTTAGACAAGTTTTCTATAGAAAAGTTGTCTGTCTTTTAGACAAGTTTTCTATAGAAAAGTTGTCTGTCTTTTAGACAAGTATTCTATAGAAAAGTCGTCTGTCTTTTAGACAAGTATTCTATAGAAAAGTTGACTGTCTTTTAGACAAGATATAGAAATGTTGACTGTCTTTTAGACAAGTTTCTATAGAAAAAGTTGTATGTCTTTTAGACAAGTTTTCTATAGAGAAGTTGTCAGTCTTTAAGACAAGTTTTCTATAGAAAAGATGTTTGTCATTTAGACAAGATTTCCATAGAAAAGTTGTCTGTCTTTTAGACAAGTTTTCTATAGAAAAGTTGTCTGTCTTTTACACAAGTTTTCTATAGAAAAGTTGTCTGTCTTTTACACAAGTTTTCTATACAAAAGTTGTCTGTCTTTTACACAAGTTTTCTATAGAAAAGTTGTCTGTCTTTTAGACAAGTTTTCTATAGAAAAGTTGTCTGTCTTTTAGACAAGTTTTCTATAGAAAAGTTGTCTGTCTTTTAGACAAGTTTTCTATAGAAAAGTTGTCTGTCTTTTAGAAAAGTTTTCTATAGAAAAGTTGTCTGTCTTTTAGACAAGTTTTCTATAGAAAAGTTGTCTGTCTTTTAGACAAGTTTTCTATAGAAAAGTTGTCTGTCTTTTAGACAAGTTTTCTATAGAAAAGTTGTCTGTCTTTTAGACAAGTTTTCTATAGAAAAGTTGTCTGTCTTTTAGACAAGTTTTCTATAGAAAAGTTGTCTGTCTTTTAGACAAGTTTTCTAGAGAAAAGTTGTCTGTCTTTTAGACATGTTTTCTATAGAAAAGTTGTCTGTCTTTTAGACAAGTTTTCTATAGAAAAGTTGTCTGTCTTTTAGACAAGTTTTCTATAGAAAAGTTGTCTGTCTTTTAGACAAGTTTTCTATAGAAAAGTTGTCTGTCTTTTAGACAAGTTTTCTATAGAAAAGTTGTCTGTCTTTTAGACAAGTTTTCTATAGAAAAGTTGTCTGTCTTTTAGACAAGTTTTCTATAGAAAAGTTGTCTGTCTTTAGACAAGTTTTCTAGAGAAAAGTTGTCTGTCTTTTAGACATGTTTTCTATAGAAAAGTTGTCTGTCTTTTAGACAAGTTTTCTATAGAAAAGTTGTCTGTCTTTTAGACAAGTTTTCTATAGAAAATTTGGCTGTCTTTCAGTATTTCTACATTTCAGATATGTTTTGGAAAAGTCTTTCAGATAAGTTACGTGCGTAGTGTTCCCTTTGCTCTAGCAAATGAAGTTTGGATTCCATAGAATTATTGAAAAGAAATTTGTAAAATATAGCAATCACAAATTGATCATCAACCTCTAAAAGAATTACAAATTTTGTTTCTAAACATACAACAATATTTACTAATAATTTTTTGACTTTTTAGTAAATTATTCAACAAACCACACAATCAACAGGTGACAAACGGATTACAGAATAAAATTTATAAATCGCTGTCACAGCACAATAATGTCACAGATTGTCGGGTAACAAAAACACAACAACAAAATATGTTTAATGACTATAAATGTTCATACACATGTAAGTAAGTAAATCTCTTGTTTAATTGTTACTAAATGCTACTGCTGATTGTTTTATTTTTTTGTTCGTCCAGCTTAAGCACACACATACAGGCTTTAAGTCAAACCGAAAAATATCATGTAAATGGGGTGTCATTAAGTACCTGTCAAAGTCATGAAGCCGCATAATGATTTGTTGCGGTATATCCCGAATAACGCATGCAGTGCAACATACATAGATCACACGATGTTGGGTGCAATGCTACAATGGAATTTACAAAAACAAAAAAAAAAAGAGTGAGAATGTAAAACCACACAGTCATAAAGTCACAGTAGCAAAGTAATTACCACACAAAAGGAAGAAGAGAAAGGAACATGATATAAAAATTTTATACAGGATCTAGGAATTTTGCATAAATGTGGAAATGTATGTATGTATACCTGTGTAAAAATTTAGTGTTTGTAATAGATAGATAGGTGTCTTCACATATGAGCTGTTATTTTTGTGTGAATATTACAGCAGAGTTTTTTTTAATGTTTATAACAATAAGGAATTTTTTAAATTACACTTTTTCCACACCCTGTTATAACTCACTCTAATGCAAAGAAGGGATTAACACTAAAATGCAATTGATTTTTCACTTGCTGTGTTGAGATTTTCTCTCATTGTCGCCTCAGATCAAAGCAAGTTGTACATTTGAATACCAACATGTAAGCGCACATTATTTGAAAGTAAATATCAAGATTTGTGATTAATGTTTTTAGTTTTTGCCTTTTGCAAAAAGAAAATTCCCTTAATGATTGTTTATCCCGAATTTTGCAAAAAAATCTCTTTTGTGTGTGTTTGTCTAAGTTAATCCTTTTAAATTGTATTTACCGTTAGAAATCGGCAAATTTCAAATAGTTTTGGTTTCTAGAAATAATGGATCAATAGAAAAAAAAAAGAGTTCAAATAATTGCCGCCGTTATTTGTCTGACAAGTTTTCTTTGGGAAAATTGTCTGTCTTTTAGACAAGTTTTCTATAGAAAAGTTGTCTGTCTTTTAGACAAGTTTTCTATAGAAAAGTTGTCTGTCTTTTAGACAAGTTTTCTACAGAAAAGTTGTCTGTCTTTTAGACAAGTTTTCTATAGAAAAGTTGTCTGTCTTTTAGACAAGTTTTCTATAGAAAAGTTGTCTGTCTTTTACACAAGTTTCTATAGAAAAGTTGTCTGTCTTTTAGACAAGTTTTCTATAGAAAAGTTGTATGTCTTTTAGACAAGTTTCTATAGAAAAGTTGTCTGTCTTTTAGACAAGTTTTCTATAGAAAAGTTGTCTGTCTTTTAGACAGGTTTTTTATAGAAAAGTTGTCTGTCTTTTAGACAAGTTTTCTATAGAAAAGTTGTCTGTCTTTTAGACAAGTTTTCTATAGTAAAGTTCTATGTCTTTTAGACAAGTTTTCTATAGAAAAGTAGCCCGTCTTTTAGACAAGTTGTCTACATAAAAATTGTCTGTCTTTTAGACAAGTTTTCTATAGAAAAGTTGTCTGCTTTTAGGACAAGTTTTCAATAGAAAAGTTGTCTGTCTTTTAGACAAGTTTTCTATAGAAAAGTTGTCTGTCTTTTAGACAAGTTTTCTATAGAAAAGTTGACTGTCTTTTAGACAAGTTTTCTATAGAAAAGTTGTCTGTCTTTTAGACAAGTTTTCTACAGAAAAGTTGTCTGTCTTTTAGACAAGTTTTCTACAGAAAAGTTGTCTGTCTTTTAGACAAGTTTTCTATAGAAAAGTTGTCTGTCTTTTAGACAAGTTTTCTAGAAAAGTTGTCTGTCTTTTAGATAAGGTTTCTATAGAAAAGTTGTCTGTCTTTTAGATAAGTTTTCTATAGAAAAGTTATCTGTCTTTTAGACAAGTTTTCTATAGAAAAGTTATCTGTCTTTTAGACAAGTTGTCTACATAAAAATTGTTTGTCTTTTGGACAAGTTTCCTATAGGGAAGTTGTCTGTCTTTTAGACATGTTTTCTGTGGAAAAGTTGTCTGTCTTTCTGTCAAGTTTTCTATAGTAAAAATGTCTTTCTTCCGGGCAAGTGTTCTATAGAAAATCTGTCCGTCTTTTGGACAATATTTCAATAGAAAAATTGTCTGTATTTACGTGAAGTTTCCTATCGAAAAGTTATTTGTCTTTTTGGCGAGTCTTCTATAGAATTTAATTTATTAATTTTTGTTTACTTAATTTTATTAAATCTATTTAATTTCGCAATTTACTATTAATTAAACATTGTATGAGTGTATTGTTTGTATTAATTAAATTTAACTGTCACCCCTTAATAAAAAACTTTTAAAAGTAAAGGTACGTACCAGCAACAGCAGTAGTACTTAGTACGAAACATATTTTGCAGTGGCATTTTGCATTAATTGCATTTAGCCAACCTTTTTTTCTGTCATTAAAGTAAATCTTTTCAATAATATCTACAACTGCAACAATAATAATAAAAAAAAATAATAATAAACTACTTATATGACAACAACAGTAATAATAATGTCTCTTGATTGACCATTTGTCTGAGAGTCTGTCCATTTGTCCCCGTACCTCGTTCTGTAGTTGTTGTTTGTTTATTTTGAATGTTTTATGACGCTTGTAATTAAATCTCAATTTAGACGTTTTTTCTGGTTGCAGCTTCGTTAAGAAGGTAAAAAAATCCATAATATTTAACTCTAGAGTTTATCTTTTAAGCCAAGTTTGTTTGTTACTTTTTGTTGATTTTAATTTCATTCAATTTAACGCTTTTATTCCTTCTTCTCATAGATGGATGAAAAGATGATGTGATGTGCTCGTTCGTTTGAATGTCTGATTTGATTTTTTTCACTCATTGTTGTATTTTGTGTTGAAAAAAAGGGGGAACTTTTTATATTTGTGAATGAAAGAAAGGTTTTTTGTGGGTTTTAAAATAATTAATACTTTTTTTTTGCAGTTCGTTAGTTCGGTGGTGTAAAATATTTAATGAAAGTAATTCAATTAATGTGTGTATTAACACTAATGATTTTTATATATATTTTTTTGTATTAAATTCACAAGTTTTATATAAATAGTTTTTACTTATATAATCCCCGAATAACGTCATAATAAAGTTGTAAAGAAAATAAATTATGAGAATTTTTAAGTAAACAATATTTATATAGCAAATAAAATTTCCTATAATTATTTTTAAATTTAATTTTTAAACCACAATATTCTATAAATAAAACTAAACAAATTACTGAATGTATGTTAAAATTTTAACTTGAATTCACTTAAATCTCTGGAAAAATTCCAATTTTAAGTCTCACCAAAAAAGTACTTGAGACATGTAAAATAAAAATGAAGGATACTTGACAAAATCTACACACATCTTACAAACATCAACAAAAAGATTAATTAAAAAAAAATGTATTTATAAATAAAAATCATAATAAAAATATCTTACCTGATGATGTCCATGATGGAAACCACCCGAACTTGGTTGACGATGAAAAGCACTATTTACACCACCATAGTTTTGAACACCCCCCACGCCACCAACAGCACCGCCAGCACGTGCATGATGTGCATGCGGATGATGATGATGATGCGGAGCAAACGGAGCTGACGAATGTAACATCATACTTAAATCAGCTAGTTCTTCTTTTGCTTCGTCATCTAAATCAAACAATGGTGATGGCAAAGAACTGACTTCGATCTCTGATTGTGGCAGATCGCTATCGTTGTCGTCGTCGTCTTCGTCGATGCCTGCTTTGTCCTTGTTTTCTTTTCCAGTACCGTTTTTGCTCTTATTGTTATCGTCACTATTTAGATCGTCTTTTAAATCACCTTCACTTTTATAATCCTTACCAAAGTCAGTTTCAGTTTTACTTCTTGTACCAGCAGCAGTTTTTATTGGTGTAGTAGATTTTTGTTCATCTTCTTGTTCTTCTTTTTCCGATTTCAAGTGATTACCGTTGTTGTTATTGGCTGCAGCCGCTTTTGAGGTACTGGCACCAGTATCGTCCTCCTAGGAAAATTAGTTTTTTAAGTTGTTCAATTCTTGGACAAGTTTTCTATTGAAAAGGACATGTTTTCTATAGAAAAGTTGTCTGATTCTTGGACATGTTTTCTATAAAAAAGTTGTCTGATCCTTGGACATGTTTTCTATAAAAAAGTTGTCTGATTCTTGGACATGTTTTCTATAGAAAAGTTGTCTGATTCTTGGATAAGTTTTCCATAGAAAATTTGTCTGATTCTTGGACATGTTTTCTATGGAGAAGTTGTTCAATTCTTGGACAAGTTTTCCATAGAAAAGTTGTCTGATTCTTGGACATGTTTTCTATAGAAAAGTAGCTCAATTCTTGGACAAGTTTTCTATAGAAAAGTTGTTCAATTCTTGGACAAGTTTTCTATAGAAAAGTTGTTCAATTCTTGGACAAGTTTTCTATAGAAAAGTTGTTCAATTCTTGGACAAGTTTTCTATAGAAAAGTTGTTCAATTCTTGGACAAGTTTTCTATAGAAAAGTTGTTCAATTCTTGGACAAGTTTTCTATAGAAAAGTGGTTCAATTCTTTGACAAGTTTCTATAGAAAAGTGGTTCAATTCTTGCACAAGTTTTCTATAGAAAAGTTGTTGAAATCTTTGACAAGTTTTCTATAGAAAAGTGGTTCAATTCATGCACAAGTTTTCTATAGAAAAGTTGTTGAAATCTTTGACAAGTTTTCTATAGAAAGTTGTTCAATTCTTGGACAAGTTTTCTATAGAAAAGATGTTTGATTCTTGGACAAGAATTGAACCAGTTTTCTATAGAAAACTTGTCCAATTATTGAACAAGTTTTCTATAGAAAATTGGTTCAATTCTTAGACAAGTTTTCTATAGAAAAGTGGTTCAATTCTTTGACAAGTTTTCTATAGAAAAGTGGTTCAATTCTTGCACAAGTTTTCTATAGAAAAGTTGTTGAAATCTTTGACAAGTTTTCTATAGAAAAGTGGTTCAATTCTTGGACAAGTTTTTTATAGAAAAGTTGTTCAATTCTTGGACAAGTTTTCTATAGAAAAGTTGTTCAATTCTTGGACAAGTTTTCTATAGAAAAGTTGTTCAATTCTTGGACAAGTTTTCTATAGAAAAGTTGTTCAATTCTTGGACAAGTTTTCTATAGAAAAGTTGTTCAATTCTTGGACAAGTTTTCTATAGAAAAGTTGTTCAATTCTTGGACAAGTTTTCTATGGAAAAGATGTCTGATTCTTGGACAAGAATTGAACCAGTTTTCTATAGAAAACTTGTCCAATTATTGAACAACTTTTCTATAGAAAACTTGTCCAATTATTGAACAACTTTTCTATAGAAAACTTGTCCAATTATTGAACAACTTTTCTATAGAAAATTGGTTCAATTCTGGTTTAATTCTTGGAAAAGTTTTCTATAGAAAAGTGGTTCAATTCTTTGACAAGTTTTCTATAGAAAAGTGGTTCAATTCGTGCACAAGTTTTCTATAGAAAAGTTGTTGAAATCTTTGACAAGTTTCTATAGAAAAGTGGTTCAATTCTTGGACAAGTTTTCTATAGAAAAGTTGTTTTATTCTTGGTCATGTTTCTACAGAAAAGTCGTCTGATTATTGGGCAAGTTTTCTATAGAAATGTAGATCGATTCTTAAACATGTTTCCTATAGAAAAGTTTTCAGATACTTGGACTAGTTTTCTATGGAAAAGTTGTTTAATCCTTGAACAAGTTTCCTATAGAAAAGTTGTCTGATTCTTAGACAAGTTTTCAATGGAAATGTTGCTCGATTCCTGTCCAAGACTTCTGTAGAAAAGTTGTCTGATTATTGGACAAGTTCTCTGTGGAAAAATTGTTTTATTCTTGGATAAGTTTTCTATAGAAAAGATGTTAAATTTTGGATTTTTTTTTTGCAAAGGTTTTTCATTCATCTTACCTCTTCACCAGCCATTCAGCAAATTGTATAACGTCGTTAAGTATATCGTCTAAAGGCAAACGAATGTATTCACCTAAAATTAGAAAATCACAAAAAAAAAACATTTTTAGATAAAATCTTCAAAAATATAAATTCTTAAAGTATTCAAAAAAATTTCTGCATACTTTTTTGAACAAAACCGACACAATTTCTTAGAAAAGAATATAATACTTAAAACGAAAATAATTTTGACTTTGTTACAACAAAAGATTGAGGAAAAGAGTTGAGAAGAGAGTCCAAGAAAGAATAAATTATAATGAACAACCTACACTTAAACTAAAATCGAAAAAAAAAAAATCCTTTTAAAAAATTTTTAACTGCATAAAAATATTTTGATTGACAGGCTTTTTGTAAATTAAGAAAATAATTCTATGGAGTTTTAACCCAAGAGAATAATCAATTTCAATTTGAAACAAAAACCAGTTTCAATAATATTTACAAAATATTTATTATTTTTAATATTTAAAATTAAAGCATTAAGAAATTTTGAATATATTTTATAAAATAAATTTTATGAGAATTTATTAGTGAAATGCCCTAGGGTATTTTAAATTTTAAACAAACAGTAGTTGTTTGTGGTAGCTGCAGTTACATTTTTATTTGATAAATTATTTGTCATTATTTCTATTTGGAAACACCTTGCCCCGACAAATCTCTTGATAATTAAATATTTATTTGAGCAGAACAATTCTGTTCTTTCTCAATGACTAGTTTAAAATCATTTATTATAAATATTAAAACAAATATGTTTAATAAACTGTAGGAGCTTAAAAAAAAGATCATTAATCATAAATTTTTATTGTAAGAGCAAAATATGGAATATAGCTTAATGCAGGAAGCGCAGCTGTAAGAATTATGAAATATTTAATTATAAAATTGAATATGGAAAAGTCGTGATCGTGTTTTAAGGGTGTTCATCTAGTAAAGGGCATAATTAAATCTACCCTTAAAAGTTAGAAATGGCGTTTTAGTGAAATAACTTTTACACTTATTACAGGCTTACAAAAACAGCAACAAATTTTAAGATTTTGGTTATATGTTTGTGTTTCGTAAACACACTGAAAATTTGTTTTATTTAGTTGTCTAAGCCAAATTTTTTGTTAACACAACCAAAAGTGAAGATGCATTCACTTTAAATTTTGTTTTTATGTCAAAGAAACTTATGTTATAACTTTTTTTCATTTTATTATTATTTATATTTTGCTTAAATAAACATTTGTTACTCTTAAAAAATTCTTAGGAATTTTAATTGGTATAAGTAATAATAATGTAGGCGCAATTTATAGGTTTAAGGTTTTAAAATAATAACAACAACAAACAGTATAAACCAAGTTTAATAACCTTTTTTATTAAATTGCTCTAGAACAAGACCACTTCAGTTGAAATGGGTCTACAAGAAAATATTAAAAAAATAAAATAAAAAATTTAAAATATTCTGTAAATATAAATAAATGGAGGGATGGGTAGACTGGTTGGTTGTTTGGCTTAGAAAGGTGGCACTTGAATGTTTATCTAACTATGGGTAACCACCAGCAGTAGAAGCAGCTACATTCTTTCTCTCTTTGGTAACAGCTGAACCCAAACAAACTTTAAGAAATTATTAGAAAAACATGGCCTTTTTCTAATTTTAACCCATATTGTTTAAAAAAAGGTTATTTACTTTTTTGTTGTTGTTATTTTTATGCTTCAAATATTTTCCAAAAACAAGAAAAAAAAAACGTTAGTTATACAAATTTATTATTATTTTTCATTTCGTATTTAAACCAAATTGTGTTATTTTACAATTGTTTGTGTAATTTTGTATTTAAATTGGTGTTTGTTGTGTATTATTTTAGGTTTTAACTAACTGTTATTTTTCATAGTTTTTTATAATTTGTATAGGTTCTTGGTAATACAGTTCACAGCACATGACTGTGTCTACTTGTAGTCAGTTAGTTAGACAGTCAGTTGTCTAAGGTTTTATTGTGGGTTGTTGTAGTTGTTCATATTTTAGAGCAGGGATGGTCAACAGGGTATTTCTTACCCTTGACAATGAAAATCAGAAAAATCGATTGGGTTCTAATGCAAACCAACAATGTGCCCTCCGATAGGTTAGTAGTTAGTGTTGTAACTAACTAACTAACTAACTAACTAACTAACTAACTAACTAACTAACTAACAACTAACTAACGAACGAACGAACGAACGAACGAACGAAGAACGAACGAACGAAACGAACGAAGAGGGAGCGAGCGAGCGAGCGAGCGAGCGAGAGAGAGAGCGAGCGAGCGAGCGAGCGAGCGAGCGAGCGAGCGAGCGAGCGAGCGAGCGAGCGAGCGCGAGCGAGCGAGCGAGCGAGCGAGGAGCGAGCGACCGAGCGAGCGAGCGAGCGAGCGAGCGAGCGAGCGAGCGAGCGAGCGAGCGAGCGAGCGAGCGAGCGAGAGAGCGAGCGAGAGAGCGAGCGAGCGAGCGAGCGAGCGAGCGAGCGAGCGAGCGAGCGAGCGAGCGAGCGAGCGAGCGAGCGAGAGAGCGAGCGAGCGAGAGCGAGCGAGAGAGCGAGCGAGGAGCGAGCGAGCGAGAGCTAGCGAGCGAGCGAGCGAGCGAGCGAGCGAGAGAGCGAGCGAGCGAGCGAGCGAGCGAGCGAGCGAGCGAGCGAGCGAGCGAGCGAGCGAGCGAGCGAGCGAGCGAGCGAGCGAGCGAGCGAGCGAGCGAGCGAGCGAGCGAGCGAGCGAGCGAGCGAGCGAGCGAGCGATCTATCTATCATCTATCTATCTATCTATCTATCTATCTATCTATCTATCATCTATCTATCTATCTATCTATCTATCTATCTATCTATCTATCTATCTATCTAAATAACTAACTATCTAAATAACTAACTAAGACGAACCAGCTATGTCTATCTGTTGGAAGCACGAACGGGCCGAACGAAATTACGTAAAAAATCATAATTTCTAAGTCGTGTTCTTCTTATGCCGACTTATATGTTATAGGACATACATCGTAGTTGTCTGTGATCCATTCACATAAGTTTGTAACACATCTAAATAATGGATTTGGACTCGTAACAGTATGTATGTATTTTTTTTGTCATTATTAGATTCAAAGGTGATCGCCCAGTTCGTCTGTCTGTTGAAACTACGATTAGTTTCGGAGGGGTTTTTAATTTTCCATTATATATTTTCCATCCCTGTTTTACCAAACACACAAGAAAAATATTTTTCACCTTATTGTTTATTTAAAGTGTTTTCTATATATTGGTTTTATTTTATTTAATTTTTTTCCTTTTCTATTTATTTGCTATTTGTTGTCTATTTGTATGTTCGAACATTAAACATTTGTCACAATTTGTTTTTGGTCTTTCACCACAATTAAGGGCGTTTTACTTCATGTTCAAGAGCTTGATTGCCCCCGTTGCAAGTTTTATTTCATTTCTAACTAATATTTATTAAAGATTATTGGTTAAAGAATGAATAAATATTTGTATATTAGAAACCCATTGATTTACATTTCAATTGCTTTTTATCAAAATACAACATATAGGGTTGTTATTAGCTTTTCTTGTATTTTCTTGTCTGAATTTGTTTAAGGGGGGTCAAATAGTTTATATTTTTAGTAGTGGGGGTTTGTTTGTGTTAGAAGGGGTTATTTGCTGGATTCTCTTTATGAAAATTATAGTGAATTTTTTAGAAACTATAGACAATTTGTAAAACTATTATGTTTATAGTTGATAATGATATGAAAACTATTTAATATAACGGTACCACTCTAGTATTAAATGGATAGAAGTTGCTGAGAGAATGGTTGGGTGATTTCTAATTATTCTACGTGTGAATGAGAAAAAGTTTTCTTATTAAAAAATGTAATATTTAAAATGTTTAAACTGAGATTTTACACAATCTGAGTTAACATTTAAGTTACAAAAAATAGAGAGGTTGATAAAATAGTTATTTTGATGGTATTTTAAATTGAAAATAGTCTATTTTACGATTCGGAAACGATATTGTATATGTTTGATCATCATTCTGGTCGGATATTTGAAAAATTCCAGAAAAATGGCAAATTTTTATAACACAAATTTTAAGAGATAAATATCATATGCAAGAAGGTCTTTAAAGTCCTAGTCTAAGACTTTTATTATGCACAGACATCGGAAGAAAAAAATATCAAGTACTTAAATGTGTAACATATCAATAGTGTCCTACTTTGAGCAACCCACCACTCTGGGACTATGTTATTCTAAAATTTATGGAAACTGCAATTGATTGGACGACGGCCATGATAAAAAAGAGAGAGATCCATACTTAAGGTATTTAAGATGTAATTTAAAAGAAATCCGCTGAATACATTTGAAATAAATTTTTGCTTTCAATTTCAAAGTTTTAAAATATCGGCTGATGTATTATTGGACACAGTCATTATTCAGATTTTCATAGTTTTAAGAATAACATTTGAATCAAAATTATCTTTAATATAATTCAATTTAAAATGAGACCCACTGAACTAAGTTTAAGCGCTGATACGAATC